GTGTATTTAACTTTTTTTAAAAGTTTTTATTTAAATTCCAGTTAGTTAACATACAGTGTAATACTAGTTTCAGGTGTACAATTTAGCGATTCAACACTTCCATACAAAACATTATATTCCTTATAACTATATGTGTATACATAAATATTTTTCTCTTTTAGTAGTAAAATCTATCAATCTTTTATTTTTATTTTACAATCTTATTTTAGATTATTTTAATTCTTTTTTATTTAATTTTCATATTTAATTATTTAACTCATCTGAGGAATTCAGTTTATAGGTGATGTGATAGGTCGTGTCCCAACAAAATTGGTTGAATAATCCCTTCTCTCTCTACCAATTTGAATCAACGTCTTTTTAATACTTCCAGATTTCTATTCTGTTTCAATGATCTGTCCTCTTTTGGCCCAGTACCATGCTTTTACATTTATTATAATTTTATAGGACTTCTGAACATCTGGGAAAGCAAATCCTTTGCCAAGAATTTCTGTCTCCTTTTGCCCATTTGTCCTTCCTGATGAACACAAGTATCATAGTTAAGTAAAAACATAAAACAGTGTTTGAAGAGTAATTGGAATTCATAGATTAATTCTGAAAGAATTGACAGCTTCAGACTATCAAGACTTCTCAGTTACACATTCAGCTTTTGATAAAAGTTAACAGCATAGCTCACAGTATTCTCTGGCAAGAACCCCGAGGATTGCAGTCTGTGTTGCTGACCCATTAGCTTTGACAGTCAACTAGGCAGAAGCGAGGATGAACCATAAGTTTGACTCAAAGGCAAAAAGACCTGGGTGTTGGTGACTCAAAAGTCCCCAAAGTCCTGGGACACTGACCCTATTTTTTCACTGGTTTGATTAACCTCCTGGATAAATTGCTCTTTAGTTTCTTTACAATGTAAATATATAAAATTTAAGTTACTCTTAACTGTGTTCCCCACTTCTCTTCCTCAGATTTCTTGGGGGTGGTGTGAATTACAGATACCTCTAGTAAGTTTTGCTGGACACAAGGAACCCAGAAAGACTTAGTAGTTTTCAGAAGATCAAGATTTTAGTCAGTAAGTTCAACCATAAGAAATTACTGATCTGAGACTCTTGTAGGTACAAAAAAAATGGCAATTTGATATGATTCAGCTTAATGTCTATTGAGAACCCCTGCTGGTGTGTTTCATTTGCTTGGTGTCAGCTATCTTTGTAGATCTCATTCTGTTTTTGACAGTGATTTATGAAAAAAATTAAAAGTTTTATTTCCATAATTTTTTTAAAAAGATTTATTTATTTATTTCAGAGAGCGCACAAGAGGGAGGGGCAGAGAGAATCCCAAGCAGACTCTGTGTTGAGTGCAGAGCTGAGGTGGGGCTCGATCTTACCACCCTGAGATCATGACATGAGCCGAAACCAAGAGTGGGGTGCTTAACCAACTGTGCCATCCAGGTGCCCTTATTTCCATAATTTTTTGAGAGATTAATATAAACATCTGTCTTCCTAAAATGAAGGAAAATTGGTGCATGTAGGAATGTTTAGTAAAAGCTAAACCCTTCATTGTCATACACAATTTACTTCAAGAAAGAACACCCTTTCCTGTAATTTATCTGACTCGGCTGTGTAAATAATCCTTCTGAAGCATGGATTAAGTGACCAAGTCAATGACTTCCCCAAGTTTATGTGTATCTGTAAGCTGGGAACTCAGGATTCCCAGCTCTCTAATGATCTTTCAGATCTGTCTGCTCTTGCCACTCCAGAAATCTCGTCCACCTACAGGTCCGCAAACATGACTTGTTTATTGCTGGGTTTTTACGTTCACTGTTCTGAACTGTATTTTTTGTTCAGATTCCAAGTTAAGATCCATTCAATCCATTTCCAGGAGAGTGGGATAATCCAGCCCTGAGTGCTTTTTACAGCACCTATCATAATTGACTCCATATTATATTCAGTTTATGGACACGTCTTATGTTCTTTTTTTTTTTTAAAGATTTTATTTATTTATTTATTTGACAGAGAGAGACACAGCGAGAGAGGGAACACAAGCAGGGGGAGTGGGAGAGGGAGAAGTCAGGCTTCCCGCTGAGCAGGGAGCCTGGTGTGGGACTCGACCCCAGGATCTGGGATCATGACCTGAGCCGAAGGCAGACTCTCAATGACTGAGCCACCCAGGCGCCCCACGTCTTATGTTCTTGGTAAGGTTTCTAACTTGTTTATCACCATTCACCTAGCTCGGAGCTCTAGGCAGTAAACATTTTGATGACAAAGGTGGGTAAGGTATTCCAGTTGACTATTCCAGTTTTCATACTTTCTGGTCTGGTGTTGTTTGGAATGAATGATGGCCCAAAGTGGAGGAGATGATTCGCTTCATTGGAATACAATGACATCATTGTTTCCTGCCGTAGCAAGGCTGCTCCCGACGGAATTGCCTCGACTTGGCTCCATGTGACTGCCATATACCTATTTTTTTGTACCTCCCCCCTTCCTTCTTTTTCACTAACAGGATCTGATTTTTTGCTAAATGGCATCTTCCTTCAAGTACAGCCATGGTAAGAGACGTCCTTTGGCAGGTCAGCATGAGGCGTTGATCCAGGAGAGGACTTAATGTCACCAGCAAAGCTTTTAAAAAAATCTTTTTGTTGCCTCAGCTTTGAGACCCTGGGAAAAGAAAAAGAAAAATGCAAACAGCAAGAAAAGTGAAAAAATGTTTTCATATTTTCTTTAAAAGTGCTTATTTGTGGTTGATGTTGTTATATGCCACAACATCCTTGAAGATTATAAACCACATTCATGGCAGCTGATACTATCTTCCTTTGGAGCTTTAACAAGTTTATTAAATAAAACTTACCATTAGGCTGCTTTAACTGAAGTCTTATCTCTTCCTGGCTTTAATTAGATGTGATCCTTTAGTATTTACTACAAATTTATTAAAGTACAATCTAATCGAATAGTGAAAATGCTTTGGCTATGGTATTCACACATAATGTTCTGATGTTATTCTCCCTTTATTATCGTGCCATAAAATATTTAGTGATCATACTTGGCCTCACATTTCAAAATTGCTTCACATGTTTCTGAAACTGCTGGGTACACAGTAAGGCTGCTGGATACATATTTTCTCATTTGACATATCTTCTGTTCTCTATGAGGTATAAGGTCATAAATAATATATCCATTATTTATGTGAGAAGATGCAAAGTTGTTACTTAAAGTTGTTACATTGTCTCGGAAGTGATATTATTTTATTTTCTTAAATATTCAGAAAACCGAATGGTCAAAAACTACACTTCTTTAATCTGATTATGTATGTATGTATGAAGTTATAACTGTTTTGTTTTTCCTGGAAGTAGAATTAGGTAAATATCTGGGAATTTAAAAATATGAGGTTTCCAAGCACTTATTTTATTTTCAAATTTCCTTTTATCCATTGATGGCCACAGGGGCGGTATCTTCTGCTCTGCATACCTTTTAATCTTGGAGTTTAGCGAATTGTGGGGTTTTTTTTCTTTTCTTTTCTATTATTTTTTAAAAGCTTTACTCTTCACAAGGAAGCCAGAAGTGTGACAGGAAGGTGTGATTTTTTAATTTACACCAGAGTCTCGCAAATAATGACTTTTCACACCGTGCTATTGCAGCTTAGCCTAAGGGAGGAGTTCTGTGGCTACTGTTGTCTTAGCAAATTAAATCTACTGCTGTAATTCAGCAAGACGTTCTTCTATACTTAACCCTTGTTTTCAGTTTGGCAGCTTGGTGTTTGTGAATGCATATGAGAATGTAGCTTATTACTTTGAAATGGACTTGTTTTCTAGGAAATGAGTTTTGAAGACCATTATCTTTTCAGATTGTTGCAGTATGAAAAAGGTAAACATGTTTTCCCTCCCTGCCCTGCTAACTGTGATGTTGGAAATTCTAACGGACTCAAATCCACAAAAATGAAAAATACAATAATATTAATTTTGAGAACTTCTAGCAATAAAATTTAAATACACAATCTAATAAATATTTGTATCTTTCCTTATGGTTCCATTTCTCTAAGAGTAGCTTTGTGTGGTCTTTATAGAAGAGTCAGTGTCTCGATGTACAAGTAAATTCTGCATCATTTAGATTAAAATATGAAATAGAAAGTATGCTGAAAGGTGAAAATGTTTTAAGTTTTTTCAGTTCCTCCCTGGTCCATTTAAAGTAATTTGGATTGAATTATAAACAAAAAATAGGGAATGAGCTGCTAAGAGAAATTTTAAAAATTACTGAAATTGATACACTTTTTTTTAAAGATATTTATTTATTTGTCAGAGAGAGAGAGAATGCACGAGTGCACAAGCAGGGGGAGTGGCAGGCAGAGGGAGAAGCAGGATCCCTGCTGAGCAAGGAGCCCCATGGGGGACTCGATGGGGGACTCGATGGGGGACTGATGGGGGACTCCATCCTAGGACCCTGGGATCATGACCTGAGCTGAAGGCAGATGCTTAACCAATTGAACCAGCAAGGGTCCCTGAAATTGACATAATTGTTAAAGTTTTCTAAGCAGTTGCAGAATAGCGGCATGTAAAAATAACTGAATAGTTAAAGAACGTATCTTGCAAACTTTATATACACATCCTTCACTTAACGATCATTAACATATTTCATTCTTTTCCTATTTTGAATTTGCCCAGCTAAATTTTTTTAAAGTTCTCAATCAACGTGCTTCTTTTTCCTTGTTATCTTACCAACCATAATGCTGTTTGATAAAGTTCTAGTACTGAATAGAATATACAAGAGTATTAATGGAAGGAAGGAAAGAAACATTCAGATTCTCCTGAGAAATCTGGCTCCTACTTCCTCCTCTTGTTAAACCAAAGTAATCAGAAGCCTGAGAAGCTCTTTCCTAGCTGGGCTCTACAAGGGGTTAAACAGTCTTGGTTTACTAAGAATCTCTGTCAGGCTTTTATTTGATCCTTCCTCCCTTCCTCCCCTGCCCACCCCTTTTGTAAATGTCAACCACTTCCTGATGAGCCTAGTAGTGGTGAATTTCACACCTTTCTTTTCTTTGTGAAGAGACCTGGGTGTTAATGGTACAGGATTGGGTACCATTGTACGGCTTTGGCGGTCTGTTAGTAAAGCTCAGGGATGCCTGTGGAAAAAAAGTAGAAGGTGAAGAAATTCGAGAAATGAGACTAGGAAATAGGTTCAAACCGGTCTCATTTTTTAAAAGAGTATTTGTTTTATTAGCAACTTTTAGATGTGTATTCGGGAAAGAGTAATCTTAAAGAAGCTTTGTATTGAGAGTCTCAAAGAGTCTGGCAAAGGGAGGAGCTGAGATTAGAGAGCTGACTGGGAAAAAATAAAAATAAAAGAACAACAATCAGAAAGAAAAACTGAAGAATCCTTCTTTGACCTTTTATTCTACAGGTGTATTTACAAGACACAGCCATGGAAACCTGGTCAGTTGATCAGGTCTGCAGTTGGTTGGTGGAGAAAAACTTAGGAGAGCTAGTTCATAGGTTTCAAGGTGAGTTGTTTACACTTTGAAAAATATTAACAGAGCAGCCTAGATATTGAATGTCCTCTGTTACTGATAATTAATTACTCTTGTTGCCTAATGCATGCGAATGTGGGTGCGGAGTTGCTGCCTTGGGAAACTTCCCTTTCTTTACGGACTGTGGCAGAGTTTGCGTTTGACCTAACATCCAGAGGAGGATGTAATATTCGAAAAAGAACTCAAATAAAGCAAAATAGTAAGAGCTACTCAAAATACATCTTGGCTATTTGCATTTGATACCGCTTTTGTCCTTAAAGAATGCAGCCTGTGTTCTGATCATTGTTGGATTTACAAGTATTGGATATTGCCTGGGAGGTACTCTTAAGAAAATGATTTTCTGAGAAACTTTTTTTTTTCTTATAAAAACAACGCCTCTTACAGAGAATAATCGGAGGGGGGAGGCCCCCCCGGGGAAGCAAATGTTTCACTGTGACTCCCTGTTCGGATACTTTCTTAGGAGCTGGTTGGGAATGATGTGGTGTCACGGGTGTTCTTTCTTTGTCAAAAAGAGAGATAATTTTATAACTTAAGAGGACAAGTTTAGATGATCCTTTCAACCCCAGAAATGACTTTGCCTGTTCAGAGTGCTGTGTGTGTGGTGCTTTACCGGGCAAACATGTGGAGACATCTTTTTTTTTTTCTTTTTCCCAGAGGAAGAAGTAAGTGGGGCCGCTCTTCTAGCACTTAATGATCGGATGGTTCAGCAACTGGTAAAGAAAATTGGGCACCAGGCTGTTCTGATGGATTTAATTAAAAAATATAAGCAGGAGAGTCAAAGACTGGGGTCCCTTGGAAGCCCTAGAGAAACAGCCCCTCATGCTCAAGCAGGAGCAGACCCAGAGTAAGTCTGTTCCTGAATGGCCTTAGTTTTGATGCTGTGCTTTCTTGATGAGGACTATAGCATGACATGTGGGGGTTAAGACTCTTTGAAAACTGTGACCATTTTCGGCAAATTATATGCACAGTATTTCTAGTCTCTTCATTAAGGACACTTTTCCAAAGTTTTATGAACCAATCTACATCTTTCTTTCTTTTTTTTTTTAAATGCATTGCTTTTTGAACATTGACTCCAGTTGTTAGGGAAGTCCTATGAATTGGGAGTTCCTATATAGAAAGCTCTGTAGCGAGTGGTTGAGTGTGCATAGAACACAAGTGCAAATTGCCTCCTGCAGCTTGGGTCTTTTTAAAATCAGGTTTTAGGAAAGGCATCTTTTACTGCTCCTTTGCTTTTCCCCCAAACTGTTTGTTTGTTTGTTTGTTTGTTTATTTATTTATTTATTTATTTATTTATTTATTTGCCAAGAATTTCTTGTAGTAACTAATTTATATTCTCCTCTAGAGGCTTTTGCAGTATAATTTGCTAAAGACTCTTGCCACAATGAGTTTTCTAATTTCCCAGGGGTATTCTTACTGAATGCTATGATCACATCCCACAAAAATCATGTAGAAAAATTTGTGGTGCCTTTGAGGTTTAGGGATGGTTTTGTTGTCTTTTTTTTTTTTTTATCACTCACTTCTGCAATGAAAAGGAGTGATAGCAGGAATTACAAAATTAAAATGGTCACTTTACAAATGTATGCCCCAGGGATCATTTCAAGCATTCTGACTTGGTTTTTCCATATTTGAGACTTTTTGCCAAGTTTCTAGGGTTAAATAATTGCTGCACACCGATTTTTCATTAATTTTTTAAAGTAGGATTATGATGTTTGATAAAATCCATTCTATGTCTTTAGTCTTTCAGATTAAGCCTGTGATAATATATATGGCTGTCTTGCTCTTTGATAAGCAATACAATGTTAGAGAGACTTGGCCTAAATAATTTAATTCCTAGAATATTTGGATATTTGGAACATGGAGGGGGACAGGTGGTCTTGAAGGAGTGGTCCATGGTTGGCCTGAAGATTCTGCCATCTGATTTATTTGAAGGATTTCTCCTAAACATTGTTTTGACATATCTATGTAAAATCACACTCTTCAATATGTGACTTTTGATGAAGTTCCCATTGCATGCTTTTACTCCTTTTCAGCAAAGGGTGGGTGTGAACCTCAAATCGCGCTCGAAGTAATTTCCCAGCATTCTTGGATGAGTTGGACTTCTGAGTTGGAAGTTCCCTTCAGTTGACTGGAATCTTGATATTGCCTGAGGCACAGCTTGGAAGAAAGCAGACAGCCTTGTTTCCACTGCAGATCAGTTTACAATGTTCTCCAGTAAATGAGAACTAGCTGGACTGCCAGGAAATCTGGGCTTCATTCCTGGTTCTACCACTGCCTTGGATTGATTATGTTAAATGTTGACATTCCTGTTGCTTCATCTGTAGTTTGCGAAAAGTAATACATTACCTAACTTCATGTTAATTCACACTGATGTTGGTTGTATCATAATCTTTGAGAAAATCTTTCCTCCTTCAGAGCAGTCTCATGTTAAATATTAAACTTTGTTAACCTGGTTAAGAAAGCCATTTGCAAGTGTAGCCAAGACTTGGAACATTGGTAGTCCAGGGATTTATGAGTGGGGGCTTTTCACTCTACCCAGTAAGTAGCTTATTCACTTTAAGTATTGGTTAAATTAATCTGGTACAAAGCCACAGTTGCAGGTGGGGTTATTGGTTAGACTTGGTTTAAGTGCTTATTGCCTATATTTGCTTATTGTCAAATATATTGTCATGTGACAAATATATTGTCGCATGGGAGTCATGATAATGGAAAGAGTCATGAGAATATGTTATTTAATTAGACCCTTTCAAGAAGTGCTTACTAGAGATGGGAAACTGGGTGTAGTAGTAAGAACCCTGAAGCTAGGTATCAAAACACTTGATTTCAAACCTCTGTTCTGATGATAGCTACTCATCTAACCTTGGAGTTTTGCTTGGCTTTTTTTAGTTTCAACTGCAAAATGAATTAGGTAGACTAAATGGTGCTTAAGACTCCTTCTAAAGCGTCGATAATGGCATTCTAGATCAGAGATTGCAGATGGGTTTCAACTTGAATGCAGATTTCTTTTAAAGGCTAATGGTTGCCTAGTATGTTATTTTGAAAAGTATTTGTAGGCCACATCTGGACAGAATATTTGGCATCCTATTCGGACTTAAGCAAATCACAGAAATATGTAATAGGTAGGAGTATTTGCAGTTGCTTTTTGGTGGTTGTTCTTGTTGGAGCTGGTAGAGAAATCACAGGACAGAAAGTCAGAAGGGTGAGCTCAACTCCTGGCGCTGCTACTGAGGAGCCTGAGGCTGGGGGCAGCTTGCTTATCCTTCTGGGCTTCAGTTGTACGACTCGTAAAGTGAGGGAGTTAGTGGACTCTGGTTCCAAGGGTATTAGATTCCACAGATAATAAAAGTCCCCCCAAAATGGCAGGGAGTGGAGAAGGAATCTGATGTAGATTTAATCACTTTGTTTTTTTGGCGGAATAGGGATATTAACCAATAAAGATGCATTCTATTCTCACCACCATCTCAAAGAGGAAAGGATTGCCATACCACCACTTACAATATGACCGACTGGTGCAAACTGTATTGAGAACAGGCATCAGTCTACCTCCTGGCATATATGAACCACTGTGTGAGTTTTGACTCCAGAGTGTCCTTTTTGTTTCAGTTCTCTTAGTCATAACCTTAACGTGGAGCTGGAAGGTAGACACAGATTATGGTGTCACTATGGGCTGTCTTCTACCCTCAGAGCTGCCATGAGATTCAACAGTTGTGGCTCCTGTTGAATAGCTCCTAACACAACTCTTCTTTCTTGGTGACAGGGATGAAGAGTCCCCTAGTCCTGCCAACCGTGGGAAGCAGACACCGTCTTTCTATGCAGCCAAAAACCTTGATAATGGACTAATTGACCAAAGAGTACTGAAACAGAGGTGGGGTTGCTAACTTCTAAACGTTGTAAAGCCAAATGATAATATTTGTCTTTATTTTTTATGAGATTTCATGTGTTTAAATGCATTTCTAAAGTGGGAACCTTTTGTTTTGCTGGAAGGGAATCTTTTATCAAGTGATGAAGAGATTTGGTAAAAGATGAAGATGAAAACTTGTGATCCTTATATTGGAAAAGTGAAATGTTGAGATGATATTGAGCACCTTCCAAGTACATGTTTATTTATTCAGTGAATAATGTCCCATAGAGTATGCCTTTGGTGGAGTCTTCAGTTTTGTTGTGAATTTTGTAGTTGTGGTTGTCTTAACTTGACTGTTCCTGATGGAGACACCGCTTTGGTAAACATTTCCTTGTCTTTCTACACTGGAATTTACATGGTATAGTATTTCCATATATGGGCTACATTGGAACAAAGGGCAACTATAAACCTAGAGAACTAGATCCAGGAATATGAAAGTCAGACAAAGTCCTGAGGGCAATTGTGGCAAAGATGTGGTACAGAGTCATGGCAGCCTATACGGCATTTCCCGGCCACCTGGCCTGTGTGGTTCGTGCATCAGTCGTGATGCCTGTGGTTTTCAGTCACCCACCAACAAATGCTTTTTGTTACATGTACTGTCATTGAAAGGAGAGGCGTCAACTCGCATAGCAGAATAATCAGGCAATAGTCAAGTGGGGGCCGGGGTGCTTTATATGGGTTCTGCCTTCTATGGGTTCTGTAGGTCTTTTCTCTTTTCTAAGTCTTCTTCTTTTTTTTTTTTTAAAGAGAGAGAGAGCCCTAGTGGGGGTTGCGGGGGGCGGGTAGGGGCAGAGGGAGAGAGAATCTTAAGCAGACCCCATGCTGAGTGCAGAGCCCGATGCGGGGCTCGATCTCACGATGCTGAGATCATGACCTGAGCCAAAATCAAGAGTTGGAAGCTTCACTGACTGAGCCACCCAGACACCCCTCTCTTTTCTAAGCCTTTTGATGACATTTCATCCTCATAACGGTTCTCTGATACCTGCAGGGAAGGATGATTATTGCCATTTTTTTTTCATATGGCTGGTCAAAGGAACACCTCTGTTCCTTGTGGTATTTCTCATCCTTCATAGCACTTGGCAAGGGGGAGAAAAACACAGAACTGGCCTGGAAATGGAGAGAAATAGGAGGGTTTGGAAACCAGAGTCGATACTCCCATATCTTTCTCTGTAATCATTAAGTCTCTCCTAATCTCTCTGACCACCTGCTGCCCATCTCTATCCACAAGCACCTCAGAGTTAAATGTGTCCAAAAAGTGACCTCATGTCCCCTGCCTTAGTATACACTTGGGTGCAAGAGACACAAATCCACTCAAACTAACATAAGACAAGGGGAGTCTGTTGTAAGAAAAACATTTCACAGCATGCCACAGCAAAGCCGGCAAGTTCCCTGGGCACGGAGGAAGCTGTCCCTCCCCTTATGGAGCCATGTGATGGCCGTCTCCGTCTCTCTCCTGCTTTCCTTGTCGGCCTCCTTCTCTTGCTTCTCCCTGTGAGGATGGATTTATCCTACTACTCGTGGTTGCCCTGCGCTGTTCAGACTGGCTGACATATGACTACCTTGCCGTAGCACTGACTCCAAAGGAAATTCTCCCTGCAAACAGCTCAGGTCACCCCAGCCAACCGACTCAGTCTTCCAGTGTTGCTTTGTTGGGTATCTGAGGAGGAGAAACTGAGGGGTCCAGCATGGATCACATGTCCCCTCTTGGGCAACCAGCTGTGTTGTGGGCAGAGGCAGATTAAAGACAATGCACCTATTTTAAATATTTTCACTCTGGTCCTGCCCTTTATCCAGAGCCATGCCTGGGTGGGGTCAGGGGGGCAGACAGAAGATTCCTTTCCCACATCCTGTCTCAGACAGCGGCTCTGTCGTCCAGCTGTGTGATTTAAACTCACTGGAGCCAGCCTGCATCCCTTTGTCCTTCCTCCTGCCCTTCTGTCTCAGGTGCTATTCCTTCAGCAGGTGTCGATGCAGGGCCTGTTGCAAAGCTTTTGTGTCTGTGTTGTCCCCTTCCTTCCCTGCCTGCTCATCCTTGAAGATTCAGCTCAAAAGCTCTCTTTTACAAGCCCCTCCATTTTATTACTCCAGGCCCAGCAAAGAGCCCTTCTTCTATTTGTAGTATCCTCTATATATCTCCTGCCTTACTTTTTTTTTTTTTTTTTTAAGTCCTGCCTTACTTTTAAAAGGAGGCAATGGAATTGATCACTTTAACGTCTTTATTCCCTCATTAGCTGGAAAACACCTGGGCAAAACCACGCCCTTTTTGTCATTGTAAACACGGCACTGGCACCGTCCTCACAGTCCTTGGCACACAGAGTCTAAGGAGGAATTTTTAAATTGAACTGAGGATGCGTCATCCAATTAAAGACTGAATATATCTCCATGGGGTGGGATAAATATTTGAATAGCATCAATTTCTTTTTAGATCCCTTGATACAATTCGTGTTAAGTATGCTGACTTTGCAACAGGGTTAAACTCCAGAGTTAATATGTCACTCATTCGGGACAGGCTAGAAACCTTATGGTGTTTGGCTACAAGGCTTTCATGAAGCCATCTGCTCTCAAGAGATGGGGAGAGATCGTGGAACAAGTGTCCACTTCGGCTGCACACACCTGCTCTGGAATCTTGACTCCTCCGTTTGCTTGCCAGGTGGTCTCTGCACAACACAGGATGGGAAGACCCGCCTGCATATGCAGTTCTTGACGCCCAAATGGGACGGCACTTTCAAGTGCGTGGCACCCATTAGCACACCATACAAGGTGGCTGTCATTATTCTTGTGATATTTTTTTCTATGGTCCCTAAAAAGACTGTGTGCTTTCCACCTAGATTATTTGCAAACAAGAAGAAAAAGAAGGCTCTAGAGGCAAGCTGATCACCTGATCTTGGCCCTTGAAAAGTCTCTAGTAGAGATATGTGTGTCCCAGTGGATGAATTTTGTGAACCAGGGAAACACTAGGGTACTGTGACACACTGCAGGTGTCTTTGGGGATAGGTGATACCATGCTCTTGACTGAATTGCTTAAATGCCCTTCCCTGATTATGAGCACCCATCTTCAACATGCGTTGGTGACCCTTTGGAAAGAGATTTTTTTTTTTTTTTTTTGCAGTGCGGTCCCTTGTTTTTCATTTACACCATTTGCTTCCCTTTTAGTGCTTAATAAAGCATGAAATCAAAGAGGTAGAGGTTTCCTAAATGCTACTTAGAAACACTTTGCTTAAACTTTAGGTATATGTGTGCAGATGTTTTGCTTCTCCCTTTGGGCATAATTATAAATTAGTCATGGTTTCATGCATATTTAGAAATTATTTTAATGATTTGTGTCATTGGTCTACATTTCCTTGGAGATGCAGAATGATCTCACTTTTCTGCCTGTGCTCAGTAAGGCAACCGTCAGTGGGTCCCCACTTGATGTGTTGTTCATCGGCATGATCACACACGCAGCCAGATGAGGGGCATCGGGGTCGTCTGCGCATCTTATCCAGCACGTAACGGGGCAGTTCAGTGAAATGCACCAAAGACAATACACGTGATAAATTGTCACAGGTCAGTGGAGCAAGAATCCCTCAGAGGGAAATGCAGGAGCCCACCATCTCCCCCGACAAGGTGTCTAGAATATCTATACGTAAAGGATCTGAGCTTTGGAAGTGTTACATTGTAACTCTAGTCCTTAATCGGAGATTTCCCAGCGTACACAAACGCGGTAAATGCTATGAGGAGTCCTACAGTGAGAAAACCCATGTGACTTTGTTCAAACCCGAATTCTTTCTCTGTGTAAAATATATTAACAGGGGCACCTGGGTGGCTCAGTCGTTAAGCGTCTGCCTTCGGCTCAGTCATGGTCCCAGGGTCCTGGGATCGAGCCCTGCATCAGGCTCCCTGCTCCGCGGGAAGCCTGCTTCTCCCTCTCCCTCTCCCCCTGCTTGTGTTCCCTCTCTCCCTGTGTTTCTCTCTGTCAAATAAATAAATCTTTAGAAAAATAAAATAAAATAAAATAAAATAAAATAAAATAAAATCTATTAACATTACAAAACACACCCCAGGAAATACTGACTTAAAGATTTCTTACCCAAGCCAGGGTGCATTCATTCCTTTCAGACATAAATGTTTACAGAATGCTGATTCTGGGCCAGGCCCTGATGTCAGCACTGAGGATATAGTAGCAAACGAAGCTGACCAAACCTCCTGCCCCCCCCTTCCAAAGGGGGAGAAAAATAGCAAATAAATGTGACACTCCATTATAACATATTTAAGTGTTATAAAGATCATTAATGCAAAGAAAAAAGGAGGTGGGATAGAGAGTGAGTGGCACCGTGTGTGTGTGTGTGTGTGTGTGTGTGTGCGTGTGCGTGCGTGCGTGCGTGTGAGCATTCAGGAGGGTTCTATTTCAGACGGTATTTTCAGGGAAGTCTTTTGACTTCGACGAGGTGACGCTTGAGCACAGACCCAGATGAAATGAGGAATACTGGCTCACTAAGCTAGAACTGAAATTTCCTTCAGGGGAGGTTATCTGTGGGCCCGGACAATCAGGAACTGCAGAATCAGGGGAAATTGGGCTGAGACACTTGATAAATGTTTCTCTGACTCTTACGCATTCCCATTAAATCTAATATGCAGTCTTCAGAGCTCTAAAGTAAGTTTGAATTCTAAACTGTTCTCCCCCTTTTTGTTCAGTGCAAAAGCTCCTGAATACACACACCATGAGCTCGGTGTGATTCAGCCTCTGGGGGAGGTGGGTGGGGGGCGCTTTAGTCCTTGCCCAGGGGACCTCCGCGTCTCGTAGACACGACTGGCATGTCAGCTGACAACTGCCGTATGGGAAAGAGAGAGAGAAGCAGGAAGGCTCAGGGGACAGACACAGTACAGGAGGGAAAGAAGTAAGACTTTCAAAGAAGCCAGGATGGAGAAAGCCTCTGGGGGGATACTTCACAAAAACTGAGTGAGGATTTTCAAAGATGATTAGA